TGCAGAAGCCAGAGGAGGTTATTGTGTGTCTGTGTCTTCTTACTTTCTCTCTTCTTTGTTCCCTTTAAATTTAGTCTCACATTGAACTTGAAGCTTTCTGTTTATTTTGGTTGGTCTGAGAACCAGTGAGATTGAGTCTGTTAGGTCTGAGTATCTCTGCCTCCCAATGCTAAGTGACTAGTAAGAATAACCATACCTAGCTTTTATGTGGTTAGTGTTCACATGAACTCAAGTCTGCACACTTGTAAACAATCTGATCCACTCCACTGATCGATCGCCTCAGACCCTCAACAGACCTTCATAAACTGAACTAATGAAGCAGTTGTTAATTTTTTATTTTCAAGCTCTCATGCACTATAGCTGTTAGATATTTTCTATTGCCCAGAAGCGTAATTATTAGAAGCCCTGTCTTACTTCATGAGGGAGAAAGCTATAGAGAATAAAAAACTCTAATGAGTTAGATTTGTTTTATATGAACATGTTTCTTAAATGTTAGTTTTCTGTAGGAGTCTGACCTAGGTCCTCTGCATATGTTATGGCTGAGTTTAACTTGGTGTTTTGTGGGACTTCTAACAGTAGGGTGGGGACTGTTCCTGATTCTTTTGCTTACTTCTGGGACCCATTTCCTCCTAATAGGTTGCATTTTCAAGCAGGATGGTATGTGCCTGATCTTATTGTAGCCTGATATGCTGTGCTTAGTTAATGTCCCTGCGAGGCCTGTTCTGATGAGGGGCAGAGAGGGTGAGGGATTTAAGGGAGAAGGTAAGATGAGGGGAAAAATCTAAGGGAAGAGAGAACGAGAAACTGTGGTCAAAATGTAATATTTGAGAAGAATTTTATAAAGTTAGCTTTCTAATCTTAGTATTACAAAATCTAATCATACAAATTGAATCATGTTACAATATGAAAAACAAAAAAGAATCTTCAAAATGAGAGTGATGAGCAGTATGGATTTTCTTAGTGCATGTCCTTTAGTTATAACTAACCCATGAGGCAGGCGCTGTTTACAGTTTTTACATGGATTACATTAAGGGCTTACCAATTGTTTAAATCTTTGAGTCATATATGAATGGGAGAAGAAGTTATGGTGTTAAAATTTTCCTGATCTCTATTGAATCTTTATTCTCTATTAAGTAAAAAATCACAAGCTTCATTGCAAAGGCAGAAGGACAGACTGTCTGGAAGAAGTATCTGCCCTTGGAGAATGTACTTGAAATTCAAGTGACTAGCATAGAATTGTCCTTTAAATGCATCTGCATGGTAAGGGATCTGTTAGAATGCAAGATTACGAATATAAACTTTCACTCCTGGGGCATAAACATGCTGTGGTAAAATATAATAGAAGAAAATGTGTTGAGTTACCAAGAACCAAGAGTGTATGAGGAAAACAATTTTGTTACCAAGACAAGAATTTATGAACAAGATTCAGTCTAGAAAAATGCTCCTGAAGAAGAAAATATACCGTGACACAAATGTACTGAATACCTAGCAATTATTATACAGATGAAATAAGAATATCCACAATCTACAGTTACTTTGGTGTAAGAACTGGAGCCAATACTTTAATTTACTGAGTTCTCAGTACTAAGGAATTGCTACTAAAGTATGAGCTTTTGTGGCTTTGTTATTGAAAATAGTTCTTTCATACAGTATATTTTCATCATAGTTTTGACTCCCTAATCTACTCCCTAATCTTTCCAGAGGATCCAACTTCATGCCTCAATCTCTCTTTTTATTTTCATTGGTTATTTTATTTATTTACATTTCAAATGTTATCACCCTTCCTGATTTCTCTCTGTAAGCCACCTATCCCATCACTCCTGCCCCCTGCTTCTATGAGTGTGCTCCCACCCGCAAACCCACTCCAGCCTCAGCACCCTAGCATTCCTTTACACTGGGTCCTCAAGCCTCTACAGGACCAAGGGACTCCCCTCCCATTGATACCAGATAAGGCAATACTCTGATACATATCCAGCTGGAACCATGGGTCCTTCCATGTGTACTCTTTGGCTGGTGGTTTAGTCCCTGGGAGCTTTGGGGAGCATGGTTAGTTGATATTGTTGTTCTTCCTATGGGGTTGTAAATTCCTTCTGCTTCTGTGCTCAGTCTGATTGTTGGCTGCAAGAATCCACATCTGTATTTGTCAGATTCTGGCAGAGCCTCTCAGGGCACAGCTATACTAGGTTTCCTTCAGCAAGCGCTTCTTGGCATCAGCAATAATGTCTCAAGATGAGATGGGTCCCTAGGCGGGGCAGACTCTGAATGGCCTTTCCTTCAGTCTCTGCTCTACTCTTTGTCTCTGCACTCTCTTTAGAAAACAAAACAAAGAAAGCAAACAAAGTAGAACGAAACAGTAGAAATACTTAAACAAGAAAAAAATGTTGCATAAAAATAATATTACCACATTCTCTGTTTAATATAAATTAGGTGACATCTTAAAGAATCAAGAAATAAAAGAATCCCTAAAAGTAAATTTATTATATTGTGTATACTTTCTAATTCTGAGCAAATAAATATTTGCACATTCACTATATTGACCATTTAACTAAAGCATAATGCACCTGTGGTTTAATAATCCATTGACAATACACCTGAACACTACATTTTAAATAATCATTTTTATTTTAATCTTAAATTAGAATTTGGAAAATTTTTTATTGTTGTGTTTAAATATTTGTAAGTATACTTGACAAGCATATTTCTGCAAATTTATTGATTATTGAAACATCTATTTCTTGATGTGATTATCTAAATATATTTAATATTTAATGGCTTCATGAAGCCATATTTCAGTTGGGCAGTAAAAGTCACTTTGAGTTTCTCCTCATCTTAAAGTCGAAAAGTTTAATAGCAATGCATACATTCTATTGAGTGCATAGTCCTGGGGCCATGCAAACAATTTTGTGTATTCTAAATATCCTTTAATTACTTGGGCTGTAAGATTTTTCATGGGATATAATTTGTGATTTACCATATTTCATAATTTATTTCTCTTAATTTTGACCGGCAATCAAATTGTACACTTACTGTCATACATTATTTGTAAAACTTCGTACTCTGGATTTTCCCAACAACACATCCAAAACAATATCACAAATCATAGCCATTAATAGTTACACGAAGTTGAGATGTAACACACAGCAAAAATGATAGGCAAAGGTGAAGACTATTAATATGGCTGTCTATTAGTGATTCTACAGATAAATTGTGGCATATACATGAACTGGAATAATATTAGGATATAGAGGAATGAAGTAGTAATTCATACTATGTAATTTTAGACCTCTAAATATTATATATCAAAAAATAATTGTCTCAAATTATCACACCCATGTTTGCTCATTGAATACAAAATGCTGTGACAAATGACTAACAGTCATTTTTAATTAGAAGACAATAAATAGATGATATTTAGTAGCTTTAAACTGTTGAGATATTAATCATTTGTAAATACACTGCAAAGTGCTGATTCTAAACGTTAAAGTATTTTTCATATCTCTACGTATGAATGTTTTAATAAACGTTTAATCCTAAAAGTCACTACACCATGTACTTTTGTTAGAAGTCACTTAGTGACAACCTAAACTCACTGCTTGCAGTGGTATGCAGAAGCAAAGCATAGGTGAAAACACAGCATGTAAGTACATCTATGACACACTCAGACCATGCACACTAATAGACCAATTTTATTTGACATGATATAAACAATTACCTTATCTCTTAACACTTGATAAAGGTAATTGTTTAAATGGCTCCAGAAGCTTGGGTAGTATAGTTATGATAGAAATGGGTTAAGCATTATTGTCCATTGGAAATGCTAGGGATTATATAGTCTTAAGTCTGTATTATACAAAGCTGACTTTGTACAATTCAGGTTAAAGCCCATACTGCAGATTGTATTTAGTATCCAATGAATAACCAGTGGTACTGTCATCTTTACCTATAAAGATCTAAATGCTTTCCCTATTGCAGCCAGCATCTATGTAAGGTAAACAAAGATTCCGTCAATATCAAATATAGTAGTATGGTACCACTTCTTATTTCCATAGTTACTAAATTGAAAAATAGTATTAATCTTTCCATTTGTACTTTTCTTGTCAGAAAGAATTCCTGAAAAAGATTTGTGTCTGAAAAGACATTAAGTCTATACCAATGTGAGGAGTTTGAAATGTTTCAAGTTCAAAGACTAATTACTTTAGGCTTCCTCAGTGTTCTGAACAGCCATTTCATGACCACATCTATTCCAGAAATGAAATTCTTTGGCTAATAGATTTAAAAAAAAAAACTTTTAAAGTCTATTAACTTTTGCCCAGCACTATCTTTAACCAACTCAAAAGTTAAGATGGTCATCAGATAGCATCTTAGACCTATGGAAAAAACTTCATGCTTCCTGTTTTCACCATCTCTGTGATGTAAGCAATGTTTATTAAACTGTCTTTTTTTCTGATTTTAAATGTTTCATGAAAGTATAAAACTTCATAAAGCTGCTTCCATGCTGTAACATGGTATTTGGGACAATATTTTCTATGTTCTGAAGCCATGGTCACTCAAAATGACTCCAGAATAAACTATTCTTTATTCCCTTCCACATGAGAATAGTAGTTTGGGGTTAACTTTCTTACATACTTTCCAAATATCACACCTTATGAATTTTTCACTTCTGAGTAGAATGTGTGAGGCAGAACTAAGCTGTAATCCTGTCCGAGTTACATAGTTAGAAGTAGACACAACTATCTATAGAATGAAAAAATCAAGAAGACTCATAGACAAATACAGTAAAATACCATGATCATGCTTATCAGGAGTAAGACAAGGAGGTGATGAGTGTTCATATAATCAAAATATATTGTTTATATGCATAAAATTATCCAAGTTGAAAAAAACATACCACAAAATAAAACAATCCTTTTTAGAGTCTAATTATGTTTGAATAGATTTAGTATCTCCCTTTAGAGAATCATGAAAACTATCTCTCTTCATTTTTCAACTCTTCTCTGTAGCTTTAGATCCCGCCAAGGACCCATGCTTAAAGATGAAATGCAGCCGCCACAAAGTCTGCATTACTCAGGATGCCCAGACTGCACTGTGCATCAGTCACCGGAGGCTCACACACAGGTAAACATTCTGAAATTAAATCTTACTAATAGAGCAGTTTTACTTGACACGTTATAAATAATTACCAATATCTGTCAATACATGATAAAGGTTATTTGTTTAAATAGTTCTAGAATGGGTTAAGCATTGTTTTCAATTGGAATTACTAGAGATTATTTAGTTTTTACGTGTACTATACAAAGCTGACTTTGTGCAGATACGGTTAAAGTATTTTATCTGACTAGTTACTTTTTTTTTTTCAAATTCAAACAGTAGTTGAAATCTGCATGCCTCTGTAAGTGAGGTCCAATGAAACCTCTTAATTATACACTGAATAGAAAGATACTTTATTGGGGTGGGGGACAGGAAGACAATAATGTTAAGCTATTTCAGAGAATAGAGACCAGTACTTGGTGGGAAAAGCCTTGCCGGTTTTATTGGTAAGGTAGCAGTAGGAGGGGACAAGGAGCCAGAAGAGCTAGGATGCAACAGTAGGTACTCTAGTATATTGTAGCCTATTTGGGTTAGTTGGGAACCAGGAGTGCTTTGCCTAAGGTAGTTGACCACTGAGTGCGGATAAAGTACTAAGTGGCTTCTCAGACAAACAGAAAGGTGTCTTAAAAGATGCCTGTGGAATGTTGAGTTTCAGATTCTGTTTAGCGAAAAGTAATCCTCTGTGGGGCTGTAGCTCGCGCATGGGTGAGGGTCCTATTGGGCTGTCTTATGGTTCCTGCGTGGGCTGTGAGAAGCTGCAGGTCTCTGCCTGGGCATGGAGAGGTCTCAGGCTAAAGTCCTGTGGGGGCAGAGCTCCTGAATGGGGTTCTCCGGGCCAAAGCGGCTGACCAGAAGACCGGTGGTCTCTGTCTTTGAGTTCCCAGACACCGCTGGGAGCTGCAGAAGAACTGAGATCTGAGGGCATATGGGCTGGACTAGCAAGGGAAGAGAGGGAGATGCTCCTGCAGTGCCCCATGGGGTAGAGACTCCTGGTTATGGTTATGTCACTCGCTTGGCTGGGTCAGCTAGCTTGCTTGAGTTGACTAGAATGCAGAGAAGTTTTCTTGTGGGAGATTAAGCAGACAGCTTGGTAGTCAAAGGCCTGCACCATGGTTTTCCATGGTGGGGCCCCAAAGACATGAGGAAGTCCATGGTTTTAAAAGGTTTGTTGTCATGAGGGAAAGTAGATGTGGTTGCTCCTCACTTTCAGTTTCTCTGGGCAGGCCTGACTTAAATAGGGAGGGAGGAGGGTCTGGGAGGATTGCTAAATTGGTTATGCCTTCTGGCCTTTAGGTATCTCATTAATATGGAGATTTCGTGAGGCTCTGAGGCCTGAAGTCATGCCCTCTATCTGTGCTAGGTGATACAAACCTCTTTTTGGGAGGGGCTGTAAAGGCATTGCCATACGTGACTGAAAGGCGCAGATCAATGGAGGTCTTCCGCTGCGTCAGGAGCCTGGAGACTGGGAGTGTGGTGAAATGTATGCCATCCCTTGCAGGGATACCTTTTGGGGTCTCCGGCCATCTCTAGCCAGTGCTACACCAGAAACCAAGCTATCCTTTCACAGTCCCACAATCCTATGCTCAGCACTTAGAGTCCTGCCTTGTTTAGCCTAAACTGTCATTAGGTCATTGTCATCAACACTGTCCTTATTTGAACCTAGCTTCTACCACTTATTCTTGTTTATAGCTATGAACATATTTCAGTGTACATCACAAAGTACATATCGTTAAAGAAAAAAAATAGTTTGTGATTGTTTATGATAAAAGCTTAAAATCATAATATGGAGATTTTGAACAACATTAAAGAACATTTTCTTTAAGAATCATTCCTACTAATAATGTACTTGCTGCTATACCTTTAAGCAGACATATTCCTTGACACTGACTGGGTTATAAACATCATATTATCATAGTTTCCATTATCCCTGTATGGTTCGTTCATTCTACTTTGAGAAGAATCATTCACTTAAAAATAGTCTATGCAACATGGCACTAAGACTTAAAGACTGGTAATAAACATTACTCCAATGGAACTAACCAAAGGTAAGAAGGGATATATTATCCTTATTACAGTCAGGGAATCCTATTTATACCTTTCTTTGTAAAAGTGGATTAATTTATATATTAGCTTTAAATCAAACTAACAAAGGAACATTGTTACAAGCATGGTTTCAGAAAAAAAATCAAAATGTTTGCTTTAGTAGAACTGCATACAAATATATTAAAGACACAGGTTTCTCATCCCAGATTCTTCAGATGTGATGAAGTAGGGACATAAATTTTATAACTGCCAAGGGTAAAAAGCAGAAATTATGTCCAACCTGGACAACTTAATAAGACCCTATCTAAACTAAAACATAAAAGAATGACCTGACCCAGAGCTTACTGGTAGAGTAGGGTATGTAAATGGCCACGATGAAAAACAACAGCAAAAAAAAAAACACATCAAGAGATGGTTAAAATGAACATTAAAGAATAAAAATGAGTTCTATATTCACCAAAATGCAAATATTTGTTATGTTTAAGTAATATCCATCATATATATATATATATATATATATATATATATATATCCTTGTTCTACTTGGATTAAAATTTTTATTATATAATGCCAATTCTATAGTGCCAGATACTTTGAAGCTAGACAGATGGGAAAAAGTCTGAAATCCTCATGGTCTACCTTGAAATATTAGTATGTCACATTGGTATAGTGACACAGAAAATAAAAAGTAGCTTTTAAAATTTTTAAATCACAAGTGTATGATATCAGTATTCTAGAAAAATTCAGAAAAATGAAAGAACAGAGTTACCAGCATACAGAGTCTCTCAGTCATGACTGCTATCTATTATAAATAGAGCAATGGAAATCTTGTACTCTAGTCATTTTGTTATTGACCTATTTTCCTAGGATCCTAAAGATTTATAAATTTTCTGAACCCTTTACCCTTAATCTTCACAGTTTTAAATACTAGAATTTCATATGTGAAATGTAAAGAATTTGACTTGAACCATAAGTAAACAACGGTGTCAAAATGCTTTCAAATGAGATTCAGCACCTATATTGCAGAGAATGGATCAAATCATTATTTATAAGCAAAAATTAGGCCTAAAGAGACTTCTCAGTAGTTAAGAGGGTTTTCTGCTCTGTCACTGAAACCAGGTTTTGTTTTAAGTGGCCACATGGGACAGCTAATACTAGTAACTATTTCCTGGGGTTTTGATACCCTTTTCTGGCCTGTGTAGTCACTGAATCTGCATGGTGTACATAGAAATAATCAGGCTCACAAATATACACAAAATATTAATCAATTTAAATGAGAGCAAATTATTTCTTTATTTTTTAATCAATTAATATAAAAACGAAAAATGAACTTTACAAGTTACACCAATCATAGTAAGTTACTAGTCACACAGCTCAGGCTTTTCAAAGGGCTCACTGGCTCTTTCTTCCTGACTTCAAGAACCTTAGTCAAATTCCAACTCTATTTGCTGAGATTGACATCTAAACTTATCCATAACCATGCTACAACCTTGTGATGACCTAACTATGACCCCAGGGAGATGACTCAGCAACTAAAGGCACTTATTACTAAGTCAGAGTCCTTAGTTGGATTCTTACAGCCAACATCACAGAAAGAGAGAATTGAATCTTGCAAGGCACCATCTGCTGTTCACTAACGCTCAACAGCATGCAAATACGTACACCCAAACCTCTCACAAAACCAACCAATCAATCAATAAACAAATCATTTTAAAGATAATTTTAATAGACTACAGACAAAAAGAAACTTGCTATCCATTTTCCATGGTAAGGACAATCAGAAACAAAAAGCCTAAATATTCCTCAGGGAAAGCTATTAAGCCACCTTGAGACATAGCAGGAACAATTCCTATAGTGACCAGTGGAGTAAAAAAGATCTCTAGGATTTAAATTGGCAAGTTTCAGTGTTTTATGTAAACTGTATTTAGTACTGTATTGTGACTGACAGCAACTATTGAATAAACAGCCCAAACTCACACAATACAAACTATATTCCACATAACAATATATTAATAATAGTAAGCCACATAATAACTTGATATTAAGATTAATAGTCTCCATGCCTTGAGAAGTCAGCACAAACTGCATGTGTACACAGCCCTGTAGGAAGTAGAACTTTGGCATACAGGCTGATCAATGACAGAGAGCTATCATAAGAGATAAGAGCTTACATTTGGAGATATGTGAACATTCTGAGGTAAAATAGTGAATGCAAAGAAATAGAAACTAATTAAGATTTTTATACTGATATAATTTTATGCTAACACTAAAAAGAAAAGAAATGGATCTTTCTCTCTGCAACCTCAAGTGTTGGGAGAGTCTTGTTATTTAAAGATGTTTTTCCTAATTCCCTTTCCAAAGGTGACATTTTACAACATCTTCTCATTTGCCTTACAGTCTCGAACTTCTTCTTTTAAAGTGTTCATTGGATTCACAATAAATTAACACATTCAAACTTTCATCAGTTTACTGGATATTTTATGATGTTGGCTCCTTTGCCTCTCTACTATTGTACGGGCAAATAATAGGTACTAACTGGTTCATATTTTCTTTGAATAAAGAGAGTTGGTTGTTATTTATAGATCACTCAGTGCTGTAGTTATTTCAATGAAAAGAATTATTCTGGGCAAATTGTGCCTATGTACTAAAGTGGAAACTTAAGGGGCCTTTGGAAAGTCAGTTGTGTTGATGGTATGTTGCTGGGGCAATCCCATAAAGGAGTGTTTCCTGAAGAGGACACAGCTGAAAGTCTAAGGCAGACTCGTGAAGAAAAGTTTAGCTGAAGCAGACATGGGGTGGGGTGGGGTGGGGTAGGAGAGGGAGATGTTCTGCTAAAGCAAGCACCTGAATGGACACATGATGAAGGAATCTTTGCTAATGCACACGTGTTGGTCTGACATTGCATAGTTTAGCTGCATTTGTGGGGCCTCCATAGAGAGAAATGCACCAAAAAATTTCTGGTGATATGCTACAGCTTCTTGCCA